AACGCGTGTTGCCCTGGATTGTGTAATTGATGGGTATCTAGGTGGTTGGCGATTTTGCTTCTTAGAACCCTCGCATGTTAGTGCTATCGGTCTGTAGTTTTTTGCAATTGCTTTACTGACACCTTTGTAGAGTGGGGCTATGTCTGTTGTTTTTAGTGAGTGTGGGATGACCCCTGTGTCCATGCTCCCTCTGCATAGAATGCTGAAGGCACGCGATAGGGGTTTCTTGCAATTCTTGATGAACACGGAGTTCCATGAGTCTGGGCCTGGGGCAGAGCGCATGGGCATGTCATTTATTGCCTTTTCAAAGTCTTGTGTAGTTAGGATATTATCCGAGATTTTTGAGATGACCAAATTTTGGGTTTCGTTCATAAAGAATTTATTTGGATTACATAAGAACATAAGAACATAAGAAAGGAGGAACACTGCAGCAGGCCTGTTGGCCCATACTAGGCAGGTCCTTTACAATTCATCCCACTAACAAAACATTTGACCAACCCAATTTTCAATGCTACCCAAGAAGACCCACATAAAGGATCACTTGGACAACGAAATATGGATCCCAGGTTACAACCTATACAGATGTGACAGAGTGAACAGGCAAAAGGATGGGGGGTTGGCCTGTACATTGCAGAGTCACTTGTTTGCACAGAACTGCTTAATGCCTCAAATGATGTAGTGGAAGTTTTAGCAGTAAAGGTCAAGAACCAAAACCTAGTCATTGTGGTAGTCTACAAGCCTCCGGATGCAACATCCCAGCAATTCCAGGAACAGCTGTTAAAAAATTGACCCCCTGTCTGGAAAATCTTCCCGCTCCTGCACCCAACATCTTGCTCCTGGGGATTTCAATTTAAGGCACCTAAAATGGAGGAATATAGCAAATAATATTGTTGCAGTAATAACACCAGGAGGCAGCTCTGATGAAAACTCACACTCACGCCAGCTTTTAAATCTCTGCACAAAATTCAATTTAAACCAGCAAATAATAGAGCCTACTAGACTGGATAATACACTAGACCTCATCTTCACTAACAATGATGATCTGATAAGAAATGTCACCATATCAAAAACAATATACTCAGATCACAACATAATTGAGGTTCAGACATGTATGCATGGAGCCCCAGACCGACATATGAGACTAGTCACGATGGAGCATTCACCAAATTCAACTTCAATAACAAAAAGATAAAGTGGGACCAAGTAAACCAAGTCCTAACCGATATAAGCTGGGAAGATATACTAAGCAACACAGACCCCAACTTATGCCTAGAACAGATTAACTTGGTGGCACTCGATGTATGCACAAGCCTTATTCCTCTAAGAAAAAGGAGGAGTAGATGTAAAATAGAAAGAGACAGGCACTCCCTTTACAGGCGACGGAAAAAGATAACAGAGCGGCTAAAAGAGGTCAATATATCTGAAATGCGTAGGGAGACACTGGTCAGAAAAATAGCAAGCATCGAACTTAAGCTAAAGGAATCTTATAGGAGTCAGGAATCGCGGGAAGAACTAAAAGCCATAAATGAAATCGAAAGAAACCCAAAGTATTTCTTCTCCTATGCCAAATCAAAGTCGAGAACAATGTCCAGTATTGGGCCCCTACTTAAACAAGATGGGTCCTACACAGATGACAGCAAGGAAATGAGTGAGCTACTCAAGTCCCAATATGACTCAGTTTTTTAGCAAGCCGCTAACCAGACTGAGAGTCGAAGATCAAAATTAATTTTTTATGAGAGAGCCACAAAATTTGGTTAACACAAGCCTATCCGATGTTATCCTGACACCAAATGACTTCGAACAGGCGATAAATGACATGCCCATGCACTCTGCACCAGGGCCAGACTCGTGGAACTCCGTGTTCATCAAGAATTGCAAGAAGCCCCTATCACGAGCCTTTTCTATCCTATGGAGAGGGAGCATGGACACGGGGGTCGCGCCACAGTTACTAAAAACAACAGACATAGCCCCACTCCACAAAGGGGGCAGTAAAGCAACAGCAAAGAACTACAGACCGATAGCACTAACATCCCATATCATAAAAATCTTTGAAAGGGTCATAAGAAGCAAGATCACCACCCATCTAGAAACCCATCAGTTACACAACCCAGGGCAAGATGGGTTTAGAACAGGTCGCTCCTGTCTGTCTCAACTATTGGATCACTACGACAAGGTCCTAGATGCACTAGAAGACAAAAATAATGCAGATGTAATATATACAGACTTTGCAAAAGCCTTTGACAAGTGTGACCATGGCGTAATAGCGCACAAAATGCGTGCTAAAGGAATAACAGGAAAAGTCGGTCGATGGATCTATAATTTCCTCACTAACAGAACACAGAGAGTAGTAGTCAACAGAGTAAAGTCCGAGGCAGCTACGGTGAAAAGCTCTGTTCCACAAGGCACAGTACTCGCTCCCATCTTGTTCCTCATCCTCATATCCGACATAGACAAGGATGTCAGCCACAGCACCGTGTCTTCCTTTGCAGATGACACCCGAATCTGCATGACGGTGCAAGGCTCCAGGCGGACATCGACCAAATCTTTCAGTGGGCTGCAGAAAACAATATGAAGTTCAACGATGAGAAATTTCAATTACTCAGATATGGTAAACACGAGGAAATAAATCTTCATCAGAGTACAAAACAAATTCTGGCCACAAAATAGAGCGAAACACCAACGTCAAAGACCTGGGAGTGATCATGTCGGAGGATCTCACCTTCAAGGACCATAACATTGTATCAATTGCATCTGCTAGAAAAATGACAGGATGGATAATGAGAACCTTCAAAACTAGGGGGCCAAGCCCATGATGACACTCTTCACGTCACTTGTCTATCTTGGCTGGAATATTGCTGCACACTAACAGCACCTTTCAAGGCAGGTGAAATTGCTGACCTAGAAAATGCACAGAGAACCTTCACTGCACGCATAACGGAGATAAAACACCTCAATTACTGGGAGCGCTTGAGGTTCCTTAAACCTGTATTCGCTGGAAAGCAGGCGGGAGAGATTCATGATTATATACACCTGGAAAATCCTAGAGGGACTAGTACCGAACTTGCACACGAAAAATCACTCACTACGAAAGCAAAAGACTTGGCAGACGATGTAACATCCCCCCAAATGAAAAGCAGGGGTGTCACTAGCACGTTAAAGACCATACAATAAGTGCAGGGGCCGGAGTAAAATTCTATAACATAGGGAATTCCAGAGGACCTCAGGACGAACTTGCACACGAAATCACTCATCGGTACAAAGAATTGGCAGGACGATGCAACGAGTTCCCCCAATGAAAAGCGAGGTGTCACTAGCACGTTAAGAGACTACAATCAAGTTCAGGGTTTGGCTGTTCAACTGCCCGCATACATAAGGGGTCTACAGACCCCTGGCAGTCTCTCTGACTGTTGGGACAGCATCTAAAGTGAGGTTTCTGGCCCAGTCCCCGATTGGCTGATACGTTGTTGCATCGCCAGCCCCAGCACGCAGATAACCCCTTTACGGACTACTCCTGGTCGTTCGTTTTATGTGATGCTGGAAAGTGCTGCCTATCTACTGTACCTCTGAGACGTTGTGCCCCTGTGCCTCGGGTACATCCCAGACCTCCTGGGTCCCAAAGTCCACCGACAGACACCAATGTGTGGGATACCTGAACCCAATCGCGGACTCTTTTTTTTTGGTGTCTATTTTTTTATACTAGGACCAGAAATTATGGTGGGTTATGGGAGTCCCATCTAGTAACCATGTAACCGAGCAGCGACTCAGGGAGAACCCCCTCCATATGATAGAAGCTGGTCCAGAGCGCAGTGTACCGCCATCCATCGGCTTCGTTTGGGCTTTCCCACAGCCAAGATGATGGTAGACAAGGCTGAGGAGGAGATGTGCCAGTACTGTCAGCACGTTGTCCAGCGGCCCCTAACACACTATCTTCTGGAGTGCGAAGTTACTGAGACACTCCGCAGGCAACTAGGAGTGATATTCCCTCCCGAAGAGGACCCAGAGATGACTGCGGCCACACTAGTGTACCATGGAGTCAACGAACCAGACAAGCTGTTACCCGTGATAACGACATATCCTCCTCCTCGCTAGTGTCCATAGTTAGGAGTACATACGGTGTTGTCGCTTATGAGATGCACCAGTTGAACTGACCAGAAGAGTGCTTGAACAGCATATGTCGCATCATTGTAGAAACCTTTCTCCCTCGGGAGCCAGAGACGGGTCATCGCAAGATTGAGACCCGTGCCAGGACTACGGTCTTGGCGAACATTATACATACATACAGACCCCTGGCAGTCTTCAAGCTGGCACTGGACAAGCACCTAAAGTCGGTTCCTGACCAGCCGGGCTGTGGCTCGTACGTTGGTTTGCGTGCAGCCAGCAGTAACAGCCTGGTTGATCAGGCTCTGATCCACCAGGAGGCCTGGTCACAGACCGGGCCGCGGGGGCGTTGACCCCCGGAACTCTCTCCAGGTAAACTCCAGGTAATAAGGAAGATTCTAATGCTATGTATTAATTTAGTCATCCTTAATCTGGGCAGCGGCTTGCTGAAAACTGAGTCATATTGGGACTTTAGTATCTCACTCACTTCTTGGCTGTCTATAAACCCTACCACGGGTGGGGTTTGAACCCGCGGTCAGAGAGTCTCAAAACTCCAGACCGTCGCGTTAGCCACTGGACCAGCTAGCTTAAGATTTATCCATTCCTGGTATGGTTTGTTTGCAATCGTGTCATTACGATTTCGTGAGTCTTGGCTGTCTATATCCCATCCCACCTAAGCGAATTTGGGTGGGAGATGACAAAATTGGGTTGTCTGCAAACAGAACACGTGGAAGTTGTTGAGATGAATATGGGGCCTGTTCCATGACCAAGCCTCATGATGGTTGTTTCGGAGGCGTTGACCTCCGGAACAACCTCCAGGTAGACTACAGGTAGGTAAATATAATAATAATAATAATAATAATAATAATAATAATAATAATAATAATAATAATAATAATCAGGTACGACGAAGACAAGAGGCCAGTAGAGGTGAAAATGCTGGATCTACAGGGCTGTCGTGTGGCCTCGCTAGCAACAGACCTCCTTCACTTCCTCAATATGAACCTCACAGGACCTGTCCGTCGACCCAACCTCAACACCTTCCTGGCCTCCTACCATGCCACCCTCGCCAGCGTCATGCAGAAGGGCGGCTCTGTCGTGCCTTTCACCCTGGAGCAGCTGCAGCAAGAGTATGTTGACAGGGGATACTACGGAGTCCTCTATTGCCTCATGTGGCTGCCAAACATGGTTCGCCGGCCCGAGGACATGATGGATATCCTGGACCGCACAGAAGGTGGTAGGAACGCGGAGAGAGACAATGTATTAGTAATGGTAGACAAAAACTCTTTGCTTAAGCCCCGTATCATCTCAGTCGTGGAGGAATGGATGGAAAGAGGTGTTATCTCTTAGTAGCCTTTTCTCTAAAAAAATAAATGTGGAGCTTTTGTAACCTTGTTTAATCAACCTCTAAAAAGTGGTGGATATCATTGTAAATAATTTCCAGGACAGACCGCCTAGTCTCATTTCCCTGTTGTGGATCAATACCTACAAGATGAAATTAAGACACATGTGCAACATCTGGGTATCTTTATTGTAGACGTTTCACCATCCAGTGGCTTTACCAATACAAATTCCAGGATATAACTTGAAGACAGTAGAACTATATACAGAAGATGAGGTAATCAGTCCCTCAACCTTTGAATAGGTGCGAAGAGCACTACAGTGCTCTTCGCACACGTCCCATTTCCACCTGACGTCAGGCGCCTTGCTTCTGCTTCAGAATCACCACGACTACGGTGCTCTTCGCACCTGTTCAAAGGTTGAGGGACTGATTACCTCATCTTCTGTACATAGTTCTACTGTCTTCACGTTATGTCCTGGAATTTGTATTGATAAAGCCACTGGATGGCGAAACGTCTACAATAAAGATACCCAGATGTTGCACATGTGTCTTAATTTCATAGTTGTAAATTGTTCCAGCACTAGTGTGGGTCTTATTCTTTTCGCGACTTGCAAATAGGCAGTATAATTTAAAAATGTTAATGTCTTCCACCTAGATATATCAAAGATAGAAAACAGTTCTGCACGAGGTCTTAAGTTTACCATTAAAACTTTATTTTCTTGATCGTTTTCTTTACAAGAATTCTGTGCCCTTTGTCTTTCTGATCATTGTTAATTAATATATCAAATAATACACAAATAAATTTGTAAATTATTAGCTGAAAAATTTTCTTTGCTATTCCTCTTCTATTGGCTACTATTATTTTAAAGAACATTATTTACTGCCTCTGCACTATAAAAGTTATTACTCACGGGTACAAAACACAGATTAGATTTTGCCACCGAAGTGGCTAGTTTATTGTGCACCCCATATCCATCCTGTGGACGGTAGCACAAGAGCATATGGATACACAAAAGGCCCAGGAACTAGGCCCCAAAAGGGTTAACAGGAGTACATATGGATTTATATCTACATATCTATACTTCAATTATCTGTTACAAGCAAATTTAGGAAATTTGCTTAGTATATCTGGTATCTTATTTTCATTGATAAGATATCTTGATATGTCCTTTGTAACTTGTCATGATTGTGACCAGACATACCTGGAGTTTACCTGGAGAGAGTTCCGGGGGTCAACGCCTCCGCGGCCCGGTCTGTGACCAGGCCTCCTGGTGGATCAGAGCCTGATCAACCAGGCTGTTGCTGCTGGCTGCACGCAAACCGACGTACGAGCCACATCCCGGCTGGTCAGGAAGTTCATTACCTTTGTAAATTGTGAGTTCATTACCTTTGTAAATTGTGAGTTCATTACCTTTGTAAATTTTGAGTTCATTACCTCTGTAACTTGCTCAGCTATCAAAACTTTGGAGTCCAGTCCCTGGACCCATTATGTACCTCTGTCATCTTTTGACTACCGCCCACAGGATGGGTATAGGGTGCATAATAAACATATTAAACTAATTAAACCAACCGTAGGTCGGTTGCTAGCGTACTCAGCTCTCACACGGAGGGTCTGGGGTCAGTTCCCTGTGCGGGTGGAAACATTACCTGGAGTTTACCTGGAGAAAGTTCCGGGGGTCAACGCCCCCACGGCCCGGTCTGTGACCAGGCTTCATGGTGGATCATGGCCTGATCAACCAGGCTGTTACTGCTGACTGCACGCAATCCAACGTACGAACCACAGCCCGGCTGGTCAGGTACCGACTTTAGGTGCTTGTCCAGTGTCCAGTGTTTGACGTGTTTCCTTAATTTTCTGTCCAAGTTCACCTATCAGTAAAATAGGTACCTGGATGTCAGTCGACTGGTGTGGGTCGCATCTTGGGGACAAAATTGACCTAATTTTCGGGAAATGCTCAGCATAACAAAGGGCTTTCTATATAGTATTATGTCATTGATGTCAACTAGGACTGTATACCTTGCACATGTACTTGTAGAAATAAATATTAAAGGTACCTACTTAATGCTAAGTGAACAGGACAGCAGGTGTAAGGCAACGTTTCCACTAGCCCGGGAATCGACCCCCGATCCTTCAGTGTGGGAACTGAGCTGCTGATGAATGGTTATTGACCCAGGGAATTGGAGTTACAGTCCACTTCTTCGGATTAAACCCGATTATCTCTCAACTCCCAGGTGTCGTATGGAGGTATATCGTATTGGTTGACTTTAAGTTATCCTAGGTAAAATCTGCATTAAAATAATTCGAAAAAAAGACCAGTTCCTCATCTTGTTCCTCATCCTCATATCCGACATGGGACAAGGATGTCAGCCACAGCACCGTGTCTTCCTTTGCAGATGACACCCGAATCTGCATGACAGTGTCTTCCATTGCAGACACGAAAAGCTCCAGGCGGACATCAACCAAATCTTTCAGTGGGCTGCAGAAAACAATATGAAGTTCAACGATGGAAATTTCAATTACTCAGATATGGTAAACATGAGGAAATTAAATTTTCATCAGAGTCCCAAACAAATTCTGGCCACAAAATAGAGCGAAACACCACGTCAAAGACCTGGAGTGATCATGTCGGAGGTTTCTCACCTTCAAGGCCCATAACTTGTATCAATCGCATCTGCTAGAAAAAATGACAGGATGGATAATGAGAACCTTCAAAACTAGGGAGGCCAAGCCCATGATGACACTCTTCAGGTCACTTGTTCTATCTAGGCTGGAAAATATTGCTGCACACTAACAGCACCTTTCAAGGCAGGTGAAATTGCTGACCTAGAAAATGTACAGAGAACTTTCACGGCGCGCATAACGGAGTTTAAAACACCTCAATTACTGGAGTTGCTTGAGGTTCCTGAACCTGTATTCCCTGGAACGCAGGCGGGAGAGATACATGATTATATACACCTGGAAAATCCTAGAGGGAACTAGTACCGAACTTGCACACGAAAATCCTCACTACGAAAGCAAAAGACTTGGCAGACGATGCAACACCCCCCCAATGAAAGCAGGGTGTCACTAGCACGTTAAGAGACCATACAATAAGTGTTAGGGGCCGAGACTGTTCAACTGCCTCCCAGCTTTACATAAGGGGGATTACCAAGAGACCCCTGGCAGTCTTCAAGCTGGCACTGGACAAGCACCTAAAGTGGGTTTCCCTGACAGCCGGGCTGTGGCTGTACGTTGGTTTGCGTGCAGCCAGCAGCAACAGCCTGGTTGATCAGGCTTTTGATCACCAGGAGGCCTGGTCACAGACCGGGCCGCGGGGGCGTTGACCCCCGGAACTCTCTCCAGGTAAACTCTAGGTAAACTCCAGTTCTGTAGTGGTGTTTACTCTTAAACCCAGGTATAGAGAACTTGAAGGGCAAACTTCACAAATTCAGACGATACGAATACAATGCGCAGTTTCTCATGAGTGGACAGATGCCTTACTGCAGAATGTTGTGGGAGTCTTACACGATCACCGATCCTACAGTTAGAATGAAAAAGAAAGGATGTCCATTATGTATGCTAATAGCTCTGTTCATCAAGCTACTGGTGCATGTCAAAATAGTATACAATACCGACAGGTTGGTAAGACATGTAGTTAAAGAATTGAGACACTTATGCAACACATGGGAATCTTTACTGAAGAAACATTTCGCCATACAGTGGCTTCATCAGTCCAATACAAAGTAGAAATGGGTAAGGAGAGGAGGAGTTTGAGGTAATCAGTCCCTCAGCCTGGAATCGATGTGTTCAATCCATCACATCTGTCAGACTCTGCAACATCATGGGATCTTGGTACAAAGACTTCAACGCTTGTCTAACCTTTGGACTACGACCTATCTACACTAGTGGCAGGTCCCACTGTGAACCCGACTCCTCCTGCTTCACCTCATCTGACTGCAGTATATAAGCCACCTCTCTGGCCCTATGCTGCACTTCCTACAAGAGTGATGGACTGAACACATCGATTCCAGGCTGAGGGACTGATTACCTCAAACTTCTCCTCTCCTTACCCATTTCTACTTTGTATTGGACTGATGAAGCCACTGTGTGGCGAAACGTTTCTTCAATAAAGATTCCCATGTGTTGCATAAGTGTCTCAGTTCTTCAATTTATCGGTTTTCCAAACCATTCATCACAAGACATATAGTGTTGAAACATTGTATCATCAATATGGAACAGAACTTTTCTGCAGGCTGAGGGACTGACAACCTCAAATCTACGACTTCAAGTGTGACGGACTGATTACACCGTCTTCACATCTCTACTGCTCCTGCTTACTTTCAGTACTTGGCTGAAGAAACCTGTATGTAAAATAAAAGGACACAAGTGCAACTAATGTGACATTTTTTGTGGCAACGTTTCGCTCTCCAGGAGCTTTGTCAAGCCGTGTAGGCGAAACGTTTCGGAATAAAGGTGCTTAACTGTTGCCTCTGTGTCTTACTGGTGCAGTTGGTAGTACCGCTGTTGTCAGGCAGAGCTGTAGTTTCTATAATGAATTTGGAACAAATATCAACAATTTTTGCACATGAATGTGTCCAGGCATCTAAAAGTTGATATCATAATAGTATGTGATTCTTTATCATCCATAAATGTTCTCAAAGACCAGACCCGGGTATAGTATCACAGTAGACAGTGTAATCCGGATACACCTCTTGTGGATTCTCTCTCACATCAGCCCATTGTCCACAATCTTACCGTACCTATGTCTGGCTTCTGACACAGCCACATATAGGAGTGTAAATGGTTCATTACCTTCGTAACTTGCCATGATTGTGAACAGATCTACCATGTTCATGGCACGTCTAGCAGTAGCCACATGTTCATGGCATGTTCAACAGTAGCCACATGTTCATGGCACGTCTAACAGTAGCCACATGTTCATGGCATGTTCAACAGTAGCCACATGTTCATGGCACGTCTAACAGTAGCTACATGTTCATGGCATGTTCAACCCAGTAGCCACATGTTCATGGCACGTCTAACAGTAGCCACATGTTCATGGCACGTCTAACAGTAGCCACATGTTCATGGCATGTTCAACAGTAGCCACATGTTCATGGCACGTCTAACAGTAGCCACATGTTCATGGCACGTTCAACAGTAGTCACATGTTCATGGCACGTCTAACAGTAGTCACATGTTCATGGCACGTCCAACAGTAGTCACATGTTCATGGCACGTTCAACAGTAGTCACATGTTCATGGCACGTCTAACAGTAGTCACATGTTCATGGCACGTCCAACAGTAGCCACATGTTCACGGCACGTCCAACAGTAGCCACATGTTCATGGCACGTCCAACAGTAGTCACATGTTCATGGCACGTCTAACAGTAGTCACATGTTCATGGCACGTCCAACAGTAGTCACATGTTCATGGCACGTCTAACAGTAGTCACATGTTCATGACACGTCCAACAGTAGCCACATGTTCATGGCACGTCCAACAGTAGCCACATGTTCATGGCACGTCCAACAGTAGTCACATGTTCATGGCACGTCTAACAGTAGTCACATGTTCATGGCACGTCCAACAGTAGTCAACATGTTCATGGCACGTCTAACAATAGTCACATGTTCATGGCACGTCCAAAAGTAGTCACATGTTCATGGCACGTCTAACAGTAGTCACATGTTCATGGCACGTCCAACAGTAGCCACATGTTCATGGCACGTCCAACAGTAGTCACATGGTCATGGCACATCTAACAGTAGTCACATGTTCATGGCACGTCCAACAGTAGTCACATGCTCATGGCACGTCTAACAGTAGTCACATG